GGGGGTCCTTCCGCACTCCCAGTCTTCGGGGCACTTCGGCGGCGGGTCCCGGAGCGAGTGAAGGACTCGCTGCAGAATTGCACCAAAGACCCGGAGCGCGGAAGGACCCCCCGCCGCCGAATTGCGCCACCCCCCAAATCCTGGTGCCCTAGGTGACCGCCTAGGTCACCTAAATGGAAGCGACAGCCCTGTTTACCGTGAAAGTGTGTACCCATTGTTTTATAAAATGTGTCTTTTTAACTACCACTCTCCCTTTTTTTCCTCCACCAGCTGCATATGTTTCTCCTTCCCAGAGGCTAGCAAAGATTAGAAGGCGAAAAAAATGCACTTGGGATGAAATGTTCTCTGAGCTCATGCTGTCCTCCCACGCTGACAGAGCACAGCAGAATGCGTGGAGGCAGACAATGTCAGAGTGCAGGAAAGCACAATATGAACGCGAGGAGAGGTGGCGGGCTGAAGAGAGTAAGTGGCGGGCTGAAGATGATAGGTGGCGTCAGCTTGCTGACAGAAGGCAGGAGTCAATGCTCAGGCTGCTGGAGCATCAAACTCATATGCTCCAGTGTATGGTTCAGCTGCAGGAAAGGCAGCAGGAGCACAGACCGTCGCTACAGCCCCTGTATAACCAACCGCCCTCCTCCCCAAGTTCCATAGCCTCCTCACCCAGACACCCAAGAACACGGTGGGGGGGCCTCCGGCCACCCAGCCACTCAACCCCAGAGGATTGCCCAAGCAACAGAAGGCTGGCATTCAATAAGTTTTAAAGTTTTTAAGTTTTAAAGTGTAGTTTGGCCTTGTCCTTCCCTCCTCCTCCCCCACCCCTCCCGGGCTACTTTGGCAGTTATCACCCTATTTGTGTGATGAATTAATAAAGAATACATGAATGTGAAGCAACAATGACTTTGTTGCCTCTGCAAGCGGTGATCAAAGGGGGGAGGGGAGGGCGGTTGGCTTACAGGGAAGTAGAGTGAACCAAGGGGGGAGGGGTTTCATCAAGGAGAAACAAACAGAACTTTCACACCGTAGTCTGGCCAGTCATGAAACTGGTTTTCAAAGCTTCTCTGATGCGCACCGCACCCTCCTGTACTCTTCTAACCGCCCTGGTGTCTGGCTGCACGTAATCAGAGGCCAGGCGATTTGCCTCAACCTCCCACCCCGCCATTAACCTCTCCCCCTTACTCTCATAGATATTGTGGAGCGCACAGCAAGCAGTAATAACAATGGGAATATTGGTTTCGCTGAGGTCTATCTGAGTCAGTAAACTGCGCCAGTGAGCTTTCAAACGTCCAAATGCACATTCTACCACCATTCTGCACTTGCTCAGCCTATAGTTGAATAGCTCCTGACTACTGTCCAGGGTGCCTGTGTGAGCCATGGCATTAAGGGGTAGGCTGGGTCCCCAAGGATAACTATTGGCATTTCAACATCCCCAACAGTTATTTTCTGGTCTGGGAAGAAAGTCCCTTCCTGCAGCTTTTGAAACAGACCAGAGTTCCTGAAGATGCGAGCATCATGTACCTTTCCCGGCCATCCCACGTTGATGTTGGTGAAACGTCCCTTGTGATCCACCAGTGCTTGCAGCACCATTGAAAAGTACACCTTTCGGTTTATGTACTGGCTGCCTTGGTGCTCCGGTCCCAAGATAAGAATATGCGTTCCATCTATCGCTCCACCACAGTTAGGGAATCCCATTGCAGCAAAGCCATCCACTATGACCTGCACATTTCCCAGAGTCACTACCCTGGATAGCAGCAGCTCAGTGATTGCGTTGGCTACTTGGATCACAGCAGCCCCCACAGTAGATTTGCCCACTCCAAATTGATTCCCAACTGACCGGTAGCTGTCTGGCATTGCAAGCTTCCACTGGGCTATTGCCACTCGCTTCTCAACTGTGAGGGCTGCTCTCATCTTGGTATTCTTGCGCTTCAGGGCAGGGAAAAGCAAGTCACAAAGTTCCATGAAAGTGCCCTTACGCATGCGGAAGTTTCGCAGCCACTGGGAATCGTCCCAGACCTGCAACACGATGCGGTCCCACCAGTCTGTGTGTGTTTCCCGGGCCCAGAATCAGCGTTCCATGGCATGAACCTGCCCCAGTAACACCATGATGTGCACATTGCCTGGGCCCGTATTTTGTGAGAAGTCTATGTCAATTTCTATGTCCTCATCACTCTCGTCACTGCGCTGCAGTCGCCTCCTCGCCTGGTTTTGCTTTTGCAGGTTCTGGTTCTGCATATACTCCAGGATAATGAGCGTGGTGTTTACAGTGCTCATAATTGCCGCAGTGATCTGAGCGGGCTCCATGATCCCAGTGCTATGGCGTCTGCGCTGAAAAAAGGCATGAGACGATTGTCTGCCGTTGCTCTTACGGAGGGAGGGGCGACTGAGGACATGGCTTACAGGGAATTAAAATCAAGAAAGGGGGTGGCTTTGCATCAAGGAGAAACACAAACAACTGTCACACAGAATGACCCCCTCAAGGATTGAACTCAAAACCCTGGGTTTAGCAGGCTGTTGGTTTCACGGAGGAAGGGGGGAGCAAATGAATACAAAACAAGTCGGGTCTATTTCTTGTTTTGATCCACTCCATCTATCTTTAACATCTTAGGCTGGCAGCAGACGGTGCAGTACGACTGCTAGCCATCGTCATCTCCTGGGTGCTCAGCAGAAGATGGGAATGACCTGGCTGAGTCACTCCCAGGTCTGCCCAGGCGCCCCTGACTGACCTCACAGAGGTCGCCTAAAAGAGCACCCAGGAGTATGACGACGACGGATACCAGTCGTAATGCACCGTCTGCTGCCAAAAGGCAATGAGCTGCTGCTGTGTAGCAATGCAGTCCCACGTCTGCCAGCACCCAGGAGACGTACGGTGATGGTTAGCTGAGCGGGCTCCATGCTTGCCGTGGTATGGCGTCTGCATAGGTAACCCAGGAAAAAAAGCGCGAAATGATTGTCTGCCGTTGCTTTCACGGGGGGGGGGGGAGTGGGAGGGGGGCTGACGACATGTACCCAGAACCACCCGTGATGCTGTTTTTGCCCCATCAGGCATTGGGATCTCAACCCAGAATTCCAATGGGCGGCGGAGACTGCAGGAACTGTGGGATAGCTACCCGCAGCTACCCACAGTGCAACGCTCCGGAAGTCGATGCTAGCCTCGGTACTGTGGACGCAGTCCACCGACTTAATGCACTTAGAGCATTTTGTGTGGGGACACACACAATCAACTGTATAAAAACTGACTTCTAGAAAACCGACTTCTATAAATTTGACCTAATTTCGTAGTGTAGACATACCCTAAGTCACTTCCGAGATGACTATGATGTCAGCTCCTGAGTCAATTTTAAAGTCAATAGACTTTCCATGAATAGTCAGTTTCACTCTCCAGGTTCTGTTTCATCACAAGTGATGGATCGCAGAGACAATGGCTCTTGGCTGTCTGTAATAGGAACCAACTCCCTGACTGCTTTGGTGTGACTAACAGCTGCAAAATGTCCATATTTCATACATGTATTACACCAGTGGTTCTCAAACTTTTGTACTGGTGACTCCTTTCACATAGCAAGCCTGTGAGTGCGCCCCCCGCCCCCCTAATAAATTAAAAACACTTTTTTATATATTTAACACCATTATAAATGCTGGAGGCAAAGTAGGGTTTGGGGTGGAGGCTGACAGTTCACAACCCCCCAGGTATAACCTCGCGACCCCCTGAGGGGTCCCAACCCCCAGTTTGAGAACCCCTGACCTAGACCATCCCCAACAGGGGTTTGTCCAATCTGTTTTTACAAACCTCCAATGACGGGGTTCCATAACCTCCCTTGGGAGACCGTTCAAGCACTTAACGACCCTCAGAGTTAGGCAGTTTGTCCTACTATCTAACTTAAATCTCCCTTGCTGCAGATTAAGCCCATTGCGTCTTGTCCTACCTTCAGTGCCCTCTCTATAACAGCCCTTAACATGTTTGAAGATTGTTATCAGGTCTCCCCTCAGTCTTCGTATCCCAAGACTAAACAGGCCCAGTGTTTTTGACCTTTCCTCACAGGTTAGGTTTTCTAAACCTTTGATGATTTCTGTTGCTATCCCCTGCACTCTCTCCAGTTTATCCACCTCTTTCCTAAAGTGCGGCACCCAGAACTGGACACAGGACTCCAGCTGAGTTCTCCACCAGTGCCGAATACCTCCATTCTGCCCCCTCCCCCGAGCACGTTGCATCCTCGCTTCTCTCCCCCTACTCCCCAGAGCCTCATGCACGCTGAGAAACAGCTGATTGCGGTGGGTAGGAGGCATGGGGAGGGAGGAAAGGAGGGGGAAGCACTGATCAGCGGGGCCCATCGGCTGGCGGGAGGTGCTTGGGGGAGGAAGAGAGGCTCTTAGGGGTGCTGCCGGTGGGTGCTCAGAATCACCATTTTTTCCCTGTGAGTGCTCCAGCCTTGGAGCATCCACGGAGTCGGTGCCTATTGCTGGAAGCAGTCCAGGGAGTGTGCAGGGAGGGCTGGGAGAGGAAAGCCCAGAATTGCTGGGTTGAGGGTCCCTGGACTGGAACCTGGAATAGTGGGCAGGCCTGGGTTCCCCCCCGCCCCCCAGCCACTGGAGAAGTGGCACCAGTAGGATTGCATCAGAGAAGACTGCCTGAGACTTTGTGCAGAAGGACCTTGGGCAACAATGTAGTGATCGGTGGAGGGCTGAGTCTCTAAGAGGAGGCTACAGTTCCTGGAGCAAGAGGGGCCGCAGGGAGAGACGATGCGAGAGACACTGCCAGAGGGGGGGCCCAGCACCTGGAAGAGCTAATCCCCAGGACGGCCAAGAGGAGGCGTCACCAGCGGTGAGTGAACGGCATAACAACGCCTCAGAATGATATTAACCTTTTGTGCAACTGCATCATACTGTTGACTCACATTCAATTTGTGATCCACTATAACCCCCAAGTATCAGAGGGGGTAGCCATGTTAGTCTGTATCCACAAAAACAATGAGGAGTCCGGTGGCACCTTAAAGACTAACCAATTTATTTGAGCATAAGCTTTCATCGGTAAAAACCCCACTTCTTCAGATGCATGGAGTGAAAATTACAGATACAGGTTTAAATGTATATTGGCACACGAAGAGATGGGAATTACCTTACAAGTGGAGAACCAATGTTGAACGCCAATTTGGTCAGGGTGGATGTGGTCCATTCCCAATAATTGATGAGGAGGTATCAATACCAAGAGAGGGAAAATTGCTTTTGTAGTGAGCCAGCCACTCCCAGTCCCTATTCAAGCCCAAATTGATGGTGTTAAGTTTTCAAATGAATTGTAGTTCTTCAGTTTCTCTTTGAAGACCATACGATACAATAGGAAAACCTTCTCCGAGTAATACTGGAGCCACGGGGTGATTCTGAAAGCAACCCTGCCCTTAGCCGAGCACCCTGGGGCTCTGCATGGATGCAGGTAAGAGCTGGATCTAGCCAGGGTCATCCAATCGCCACATGCTCAGGAATCTCAGGCATATTTCAGGTGCACAAATGTCAATGGGAAAACTCCCCCGTGCTGCACTGGGGAGGGGGCAGCCTGGGGCAGGATCCTGGCCTCTGTGACTTTAAACTTTCTTAAAGTAAAAGTTGGTGATTTCGGCCTCCCCGAGGCGGTTGGTCACCCGGAGGGGCTGGTCGTTTCTGGGGGACGTGCTCAGGTACCAGCCCGGGAAGGCGACCGACTCGAAGCGGAGCGTGCTGCCGGTGGCAGAGCAGGTAAAGGTGAAACGCTTGGCTTCCTTGCTGTTCTGGTACAAGTCCATGATTTTCTTGTCCTGGAGGGGTGGAGGGGATGAGAGAGGCCAGTTAGAAATGGAGATGCAGCTTAGGGGTGGGAGAGGAGGGGATCTGCCATCTGCCATATTGACTTCAGTAGGAAAATAAGTGTCTAACACATGGCTTGGCTCTGACCTGTAACTCTGGGTCAGGCATGCCAAATCCCAAAGCAACAGGCTCTTTTCCTGACCTCCTCCTGCCCCTGTCAGTGCCAGAAATCGAACCCAGGAGCTCAGCCCCCGTTAGTGACATGGGTCCAGCAACCCTGAGACCCAGTTCACCTGACTGAAAGGATGGGGCACCATCTGTGGCTAATAAATGAGAGGAAGATGGCTGTGACGGGGCGGACATAAGAACATAAGAATGGCCGTACTGGGTCAGACCAAGGGTCCATCCAGCCCAGTATCCTGTCTGCCAACAGTGGGCAATGCCAGGTGTCCCAGAGGGAGTGAACCTAACAGGTAATGATCAAGTGATCTCTCTCCTGCCACCCATCTCCACCCTCTGACAAACAGAGGCTAGGGACACCATTCCTTACCCGTCCTGGCTAATAGCCATTAATGGACTTAACCTCCATGAATTTATCTAGTTCTCTTTTAAACCCTGTTATAATCCTAGCAGTCCCTGAGAAAGGCATAGGGCAGTTGACGGGATAGCCGGCTGACCTGCCAAGCCAGGGCCAGGAGGCTGAGAAGGCCAGAGGGGTTTGTCTGCTACATTTCCCAGGCAGAGGCTTGGAAGCCAGGCAGAACTTGGGAAGGATTCCAGCCAGAAGTGCAGGGCTGGCTGGATCAAAGACTGGGTGAGAACCGAAGGACTCCCGAGTGTGGCAGCTGACGTGGGAGCTGGGGTATGAGGTGTGTTGATGGACCGGGTCTGAGGAGTGTGTGCGCCACATGTGGGATAAAAGGACAGTGTTTGGGGCTCTCGATGGCTAGTTGCACTATGTGAGATCATAAGCTGGCCCTGGGGACGGGGTGTTACTAGACCCAAGAGAACTTGGGATGGACTCTTAGGGAGCCCAAGAGGGTAAACTGAGGCAGTAACCCTGGCATTATTGTGCCCAGCAGAAAGGGGGCACTTAGAAGGCGAGGGGGAATTGGAACATGGGGGTTGTTTCTGGCTCGAGCATTAGCACCATGAATAGAGTCTGGGGCCCAATTGTGTGTGTTTGGACCGTGCCTATTGTCCTGGCACCTAGGCCCCACGTTGCCCCCTGCCCTTGCTTGTGCCAATAAGACCCCACTGCCTTCACTGAAAGGCCTCTGGGTGATGACTCTTCTGACGATGCCGGAGCCAGTAGAGAATCCAGCTCCCGACCCTGGGCTAACCACTCCTTGTAGTCACGGAAGTTGGCAGATTGGATGACAGGACCTAAGGGGAGTGGATCTGCTGAGTCCAAAGGCTCTGCTGGGAGATGAAGGGAGAGGGACAGGTGATGGGGAGGTGGGGCTGGGAGACTGGGGAGGGGATGGGGAGTGGGACAGGAGAGATGGGGGGAGAGATTATGGAGTGGGGGGTTAGCAGTGTGCCTAGGGGCAGGGCTAGGAGATTGGGAAGTGGGAGGGGTGGGGGGAAGAAGGGGGGGCAGGGAGCAGGATGGGGAATGGGGGTCAGGTGATGGGGAATGGGAGGGGTCGGGAGCTGGCCAATGGGGAAAGGCGGACAGGAGGGTTGGGGGAGTAGGGGGGAGGGGGACTGGGAGTAGGCGATGGAGAACAGGAGGGGAGGCAGCAGCGTGGTCATGCTGGGAAGATATTAGAATGCCCTAGGCCTGACTCCCCAGTGATGGGTGCTCACCTCCAGCATGAGGGTGGGCTGGGCCGAAGTGCCGCAGGACAGACAGCGAGTCCCTCCATTGATGCCCATAATGATGGGGAAATGGCTGGGGTCCATGAACTGGTTGGGCACCACGCTGATCTTCTCTGGGAACACAGAGCACCGAGGAGGGGAGCAGGATGGGGGGTGAGCTACAGACGAGTGGGGGGCGTCAGGACCTGTGCAGCATCACTCCCCTCCCCTGCAGCGCAGCCCATCTCCTGGCCTGGGCCTGGCCCTCAGCCACTGGGACTGCCTGGGGCAAGGACCCCCGTCCCGCTCTGGTAGCCAGGGGAGAATCCCTTGCACAGGCGGGGTAACTGTGGCTGGTCTGTGATGCCCCCCCAATGCAGGGGCAGGAATGGGGTGGACTCTTTGTCCCTGAGTCTGGCAAAGTGACCCTAGGGGCTGTTTTGGCCCACAATGCCCCTGACCCCCTGCCAGGACTGGCCAGGTGTTTGTGCCTCTGGGGTGTCAGGGCCTGTCTTGCCCTGCCCGTTGGGAAGGCCAGGCAGCGCAGTGCGGGAGGAGCTGATGCAGCATGGAGGAGCCGGTCTGCAGCACACCTGGGGGGGCGTTGGCAGTCTGGGGAGAGGCCACGAGGTGGTTGTGGTGGCAGCGGACAACTTTCTGGCTGGTGTCGCGTAGGGTGAAGAGGCTGGGCCTTGGCACGGCCATGATGGTAGGTCCTGAAACAGAGCGTGGCAAAGGGAGAACAGGGCAGGAGAGGAGGGTGCTCGGGGTAAAGAGATCTGCACTCTGCCCCCCCCCACCAGAGCACTGCCAGTGCCTGCTCTGTCTGTGCACCCTGCTCCTCCCAGCACCTCCTCCACACCCCCTCGTAGGCCCCCCCCCCGGAACCCCCTCGCCCCCCCCATCCCCTCTCTGCTCCCCTGGCTGGATCTTACTGGAGTCAGGCACGTTGAGATCTAACGCTAGACTTGGGCTCAGTGGGCTGCTGGGCTGCGGCAGGGCACTGGCCAGGGCAGGGTGGGCAGTGCCCTGGGTGGAGGAGAGTCAGCCCCCGGAAAGTGGGGATCCCGCGGGTTCTTACCTTGTTTAAAGAACTCGTTGAACAGATTCACCAGGTTGCTGTTGCCAGGCTGGGAATAGGGTCCTGGCGTCCTCCCAGCTCCCGGCTGTGCTGGGGACGTGTGCCCGGTGCCTGTCATATCCTGGTGGGAGCAGGGTGGGTGGGAAGGACAGATGGACACTACCTCTCAGGCAGGCTGGGCCCATGGGGGAGCCCCATTGGCCCTGCTGAGCCAGGATGGGGGAGGGGGGCAGAGCAGGGCCCATCTTTGGCCCACTGCCCCCTTCAGATCTTGGCAGCCAGCAGCACATGGCATGGGGTGTGCAGGGGTGGGAGTGAGCCCCACCTGCGAGCAACCTGATTGGCTTGGATCTCGGCTCCTTCCTCATCTCACCTCCCTTGGCGCAGCTCCAGGGCAGCTCCCCATGGAATCGCCAAAGGGGCCGCCCGCCCCATGGCTGTGGCAGGAGGAAGGCCGTGGACCGGCCACTGACAATGCTGCCAGGGGTGGGATGCTTCCCCGCTAGGGCCCGGCCCAGGTTGCAGCCGTGGGGGTTACGGGTCGTGACCCCTCTCTGCCGCTCTGAGAAGGCTCCGGACTGGCTAGCTGGGGCCAGGTTGTCAGCCCAGCTGCACCGACAGGGCTCGGCCAACCCAGGCTGCCCTATGCAGGAGAATCCAGGCCTCACAGCGCCCGTTAGCTGCTGGGCAATGGGGGTTTCTCCAGTCAGGCCAGAGCCAGGGAATAACAGACACCAGGGTCAGTTAGTAACTGACCCCCCTTAACCCAGTGGGCCACTGGCAATCCCACCCCTCGCTGCTCTGCCCCTGACATGCCCCTGCAGAGCGGGCCCCAGAGCGGGTCCAGGAGGCCAGGCTGGGTCCCCACCAGGAGGCTGTGACCCTTTGGGACCCGCTATGGCCCAGCGCTCTGCGTATCTGGCTGCCCCTGCCCCTGGACTCGGCCGGGACTCTCAGCCATTTATACACGGGGCAGGGTGACATGAGCGCAGATCAGTACCGTGTGTGTGGAGGCCGATCCTCCTGCGGAGACAGGGCCCTCGGGGTCACTGGGGAAAGAACAAGGAGCTGTGTGATTTCTCTCTCTTCGGGGAGCCCGAGGGTCTCAGACACGGGAGCTGCATCTGCATCGCTCCCAGTTTACACCTTGGTAGGAAATTACTGTCTGAGATCGTTAGCGCAGACATTCTGCTGCCTTCCCAGCCCCCCTCCAGGCCCACTGTCCCCAGCTCTGCTAGTTTGTCTGCTCTCCCATGACAGTCCTCCATTTTCCCATAATGCACCAGCAGGACCAATGCCTGGTGGACTTTACCAAGTCCCTACTCAGGTAAAGCTCCTCTTGATCTCGGGGGACATTTGCCTGAGCAAGAATTCCAGCATCTGTTGCATTTGCTGGGATGTCACTAATAGACATGGAGGAAACCCAGTGCCATTATGAGGGTTCAGATCAGTGGGACTCAGCTGGATCGGAACCACCTCTGGGTTAGAAACTCCCAAACCCAGCCACGAGCTTTGGCAAACCCCAAACTGGCCCTGACTACCTCATCTCTCGTTCTCCACCATTGGCTCCTAGGAACCTATCCTCCTCCAGTCTGTGGCTCCCTGCGGCTCCCTGGCCCGGTGATTGCCTCCTGCTGCCAGGGGCGGTGGAGAGTCGGAAGCCCAGACACAGCGATTAACATCCCCACTGGCCATTGGCATTGACAGCACTTTCCACTAATGTCCCTTTGCCCACTGGTCCCAGCTGAGCCCAACCTGCACCATCGCATTTTATACCCACATTGCACTGGCACAACATTCATGTTGCCAATGAACTGAGCCCAGAATTGTGCACATGGGCTGTAGAATTCATCAGCCAGGCTCTTCTGTATTTCCCCAACTCATAAACTCCACCTCCTCCCATTTCTCAGTTGATGACGAATCACTTCTTCCTGTGTCTCTACCACCTCCCCGCAGTCTCTCTCTCTCGTATTAACAACTCCTGCTATTCTCAGCTCTAGATACCATGTAATTTTGCTAGAAGCTCTAACATGAAAATACACTATAGAATTAAATGCAGAAACGCTCCATTCAGACAAAGTTTGGTTTACGGGCTATGAACCCAAAAGAAAGAAAATATCAAATTTCAGGTTGAATGTGCAGCTTTAACTCTGACCCTGTATGCATTTACCCTTAGCTCCCCCACTTGGACATTATTATTATTATGGTGCCGGCTTTAATGAAATGATCATATGCTATTTATCAAAGATAATACAAGATACCATATATTCTTCCACAACAAAACAATGCCACCGAGTATCAGTGAGCATTATGGTGTGTTGGCAACCTCAGGGAGTTATAATTCAATTACAATGCTAACTCCCTCAAGATCTGTGTACGATCAGTTGCTTCATTCATACATTAGACTAATATTATTATTGCATTGTGGCAGTGCCTAGGAGCTCAGCCGTGGTGCCAGGTACTGTACAAACATAGAACAAAAAGTCCCTGCTCCAGCAAGCTCACAATCTCACCAATCAATTCATCTCTGAGCAGAGGCCAAGCACAGAAAATTTCAGCCCCAGGGAGGAGCAATTCAGAAAGTTACATGCATCAGAAAACAAGACATTGCAAGGGAACCTGTTTGGCAACCTTTACTAGTATCTGCTCTCGTTAAATGGCAGCTTGTTGTGTCGTACCATGTATGCGTGCAATATCCATGTTGTGCCCATATGGAAGAGCCTACAGAGTTCCATAGACAGAGCCTTTCCATCGGTTTTTTTTTTTTAATCTCCCTGTAGGATTTAATAGAACACTATCACCCACCTTCAAACAACCCATTAAAAAGATCTTATTCTCTGTTATATTCTATCAGCTTTCAGAATAAAATCTGTGGAACCCCCCTGCATTCCTGGAGGACCCTATGGGGTTCAGCCTGGTACAGTCTATAGGACCTTCCCATAAGGATGGAATACATAGATCACCATTCAGATTTCTCAGGGCCTTCTTTCTGCCCTTAGAATTTAAGTCATCATTTACCTTTGTGCAAGTGGATGCAAAATGCTACCAGCTCAGGATAGTAGCACGTTGCTGCCATGTTGCTCATGTATAAATGATGACACAAGGTGCAGGGCAGTGGGGACTGGGCGCTTGTCTACATGGGGAAGTTACGCCAGAATAAGGTAGTAGTTTCAAATGCAATCAATATTCTAGAATAAGATCTGCATGGAGGGTTATTCTGGAATAGTCATTCCAGTCAATTTCTAGGTGGAGACAAACCCTTAGATATTTGACACAGAAGCTGACCTAGCATCTCTCACCCATGATCACTTACTTGGAGTCCAGCCCCAGATCAGTGGACGTCTTAGGAACTTGTGACAGGAACGCATCTGAACAGAAAAGAGAGGAAATGCCTGTGAGTTAATTCAGCCAACAGAAGAGGTCAATGGGGCTCCGTAGCAAGTGGCTTAACCCTGCTTCAGTGAGCTTATCTACAGTAAGAGCTGGATCAAGTCTCTTGACGCAGCTGGATGGACCTGACTGACACCCATCAGGCTGTGTATTTCTATAACGCCCAGTGCTCCATTTTCCCTCTTCTGCTTCATCTTCCCCTGGTGGAGGAGTTGCCCAAATACCGTTGTTTGTCATGCTCTGGGAAGAAAAGCAATCAAAGGAGCAGCATGTTAGCAGCAAAGCTAGAAGAAGGGAAGAGACCATCTCTGGCGTTGCCCCAGAGACTGCAGTGGAGAAGAAGAGTGAGGGGGGAATGTCTCTATCTGCAGATCAGATGATAACAATGCCTGTAATTGACAGCCAGCTCAATGACCTCTGGTTTGACCAGTTCGCTGTTGTGCAAGGCTTCAGCTGAACTGTCCCAGCTACTTATTCACATGCAAAATCACTACTTCAGTGCACTCAGGGAAGTAAAAAAAATGGCAATGTGATCACTGAATATACAGTCTTACCTCTGCCCCACACGCTCCCAGGTTGTTTCTAGGTGCAGGTAAAATGTTGCAATATGACGTCGTTCCTTATTTCCTTATTTATTTCCTCCTATTTTCTGTAACATCTGGCAATGTTTTCCTCCAGGCTTGTAGCCTTATGTTAATGTCAGAGATTCCAAGGCCAGAAGTGATCATCTAGCCATGCCTCTTCCTAGCCCCACACAGCCCTAGCATGCTGTCTAAACCCGGGGCTGTGATATGCTCGTCTCCTTTGTGAACATAAGAACATAAGAACGGCCGTACTGGGTCAGACCAAAGGTCCATCCAGCCCAGTATCCTGTCTACCAACAGTGGCCAATGCCAGGTGCCCCAGGGGGAGTGAACCTAACAGGTAACGATCAAGTGATCTCTCTCCTGCCATGCATCTCCACCCTCTGACAAACAGAGGCTAGGGACACCATTCCTTACCCATCCTGGCTAATAGCCACTAATGGACTTAACCTCCATGAATTTATCCAGTTCTCTTTTAAACGCTCTTATAGTCCTAGCCTTCACAACCTCCTCAGATAAGGAGTTCCACAAGTTGACTGTGCGCTGTGTGAAGAAGAACTTCCTTTTATTTGTTTTAAACCTGCTGCCTATTAATTTAATTTGGTGACCCCTAGTTCTTGTATTATGGGAATAAGTAAATAACTTTTCTTTATCTACTTTCTCCACATCACTCATAATTTTATATACCTCTATCATATCCCCCCTTAGTCTCCTCTTTTCCAAGCTGAAAAGTCCTAGCCTCTTTAATCTCTCCTCATATGGGACCCTCTCCAAACCCCTAATCATTTTAGTTGCCCTTCTCTGAACCTTTTCTAATGCCAGTATATCTTTTTTGAGATGAGGAGACCACATCTGTACGCAGTATTCAAGATATGGGCGTACCATTGATTTATATAAGGGCAATAAGATATTCTTTGTCTTATTCTCTATCCCTTTTTGAATGATTCCTAACATCCTGTTTGCTTTATACAAATATATGGAGATATATCTATCTCATAGAGCTGGAAGAGACCCTGAAAGGTCATAGAGTCCAGCCCCTGCCTTCACTAGCAGGATCAAGTACTGATTTTGCCACAGATCTCTAAGTGGCCCCCTCAAGGATTGAACTCACAACCCTGGGTTTAGCAAGCCACTACTCAAACCACTGAGCGATCCCTCCCCCCCAATTTAAATGTATGCCCCAAATTAAGAAGCACTTTGCAGTCTACAATGAGAAGCGCTATACAGGAGTGACAGGTTTCAGAGTAGCAGCCGTGTTAGTCTGTATCCGCAAAAAGAACAGGAGTACTTGTGGCACCTTAGAGACTAACAAATTTATTAGAGCATAAGCTTTCGTGGACTACAGCCCACTTCTTTGGATGCATACCCAAAGAAGTGGGCTGTAGTCCATGAAAGCTTATGCTCTAATAAATTTGTTAGTCTTTATACAGGAGTGAGGTATTATTCATTATTATAGGAGCTGGGGATGCTTGAACTTTGCTAGTTGGCAGATACTCCAGTTGGGGAGATCCAGCACTTCCTGACCTCACTGTGCTACCAGAGCCAAGCAAAAGGGGGTGGATCTGGGCCACAATATGTAGCACGTAGCGCAGAGCATGAATGCCAGCAACCTGTCATCCGGTACCTCGCCTTGCACTCTTGCTCAAACAATAGCAACACGCCCACAAGACATGAGATTATCATTTAAAATCCCCGACTAAGTCACCCCCCAGAGCATCCCGTCTTAAGGGGCCTGATTCCTTTCTCACCTGCACCAGGTGTAAATCAGGTGCTCTTGCGCTGACATCTGTGGAATTGTAAACAAGCATGAATGAGATCTGGAGCAGGCCTGGAAGAGAGACTGTCAGTGTGAGATTAGAATCGATCTACGACACTTAATACAGTAACTCCTCACTTAAAGTCGTCCCGGTTAACGTTGTTTCGTTGCTGATCAATTAGAGAACATGCTCGTTTAAAATTGCGCAATGCTCCCTTAGAACGTTGTTTGGCAGCTACCTGCTTTGTCCACTGCTTGCAGAAAGAGCACCCCATTGGAGCTAGCTGGTGGGGGCTTGGAACCAGGGTGGACCGGTAGCCCCCCTATCAGCTCCCCGCTCCCCTAAGTTCCCTGTGCGGCAGCCGCCCAGCAGGCTATCAATTGCTGGCAGTTCAGCTGTCCTCCTCCCACTGCCATGTGCTGCTCCTGCCCTCTGCCTTGGAGCTGCTCCCAGGAGCCTCCTGCTTGCTGTGCGAGGTGGAAAGAGGGGGGGCTAATGTCAGGGTGTCCCCTCCCCCC